ACAATTCCTCTCTCAAAAGAAAAAAAAAAAGTTTTTTTTTCTGTTTTTTTGTAAATATTTTATCCGCTTGTTTTCATCTTTCTCTGCCGTGTGTTCTGATGCCTGTCAATAATCGTCCAAAGTCGTATATAAGCGATCATTGTCAAAGGTAGGACGTAAAAACTCGTCAATGCGTGAGCTGACAGGATACAGAGCGCTCGGCCTTCCAAAGCTGTCCCTCGCTTGTTCCAAGAAGATCCTCAAAATGCGTGTAGAAGATTGACTTCTTCCAAACCCTCGTCATCAAGGTTCCGTTCGTCCAACGTGATGATTCATCAAAAAGGTATCATAGCCGTCTCGTCGCTGCACCTGACCTAACCGATCCTTTCAACAGAGAATCGCAACTGCTTTCCTCCAAAATGCAAGGAGCCAGCATCAAGATACTGAGAAAAAAACAGGTACGCCGTGATGCATGCTTCTTCCTCCCCTTGCGTCTAACTACGCCAGCCCCCTAGCAACAAGTTCTGTCCACTGCCTCTCCTTGAAAAGTGGTATCCATCCCGCTCTCTCTTACTAATTCCTAGGTCCCCAATTCGTCCGATCCTTTATTCATTCGTCAACGCCATCAGCCATGCAAAGAACAAAAAGAGAAAAGATTTTCCAGAGCCGATAGCAGAATGTATAAAGTCGACAAAAAGCGCTGCTCGAAGACACAGAAAAGCCGAAGACGATATAAACGAGGAGCTGGCCGTTTTAAAACTAGTATAGCATCCTTTTTTTTCTCAGGTTCGTTTCGTGCGCTTTGTAGATGAGGTAAAGAAAAAGCTGAACCAGGGACCCCCAAGAATGTGGCTTGTTCAGAGTTCATCAGCAATATAGTCCGGTTCGCCGTTCCGCTCGTGCGCCAATACTCGTGCGGATAATATACAATCCAACAATTAAAACTGCCCCAAGTCCTACAGAAAAATCATGCTGAAATCAAAAGAAGGTGTAAAAAAATAAGAAAAGGTTAAAAAAAAAATGTCGTCCTCCAACATCATCGACCATCCACCTGTTCCTTCTTAAGAAAATAAGGGTAAGGTAGATTAGGATTGAGGGTCTCGTGGTGGCTGACCGCGACCTCTGCCATTGCCGCCGCTGCTGCCGCCTCGACCTCGGTATCCACGGCCTCGGCCACCTCTGCCACGTCCACCGTTGAATTGGGCATTGCCGTTCTGTTGACCATTTTGAGCCTGCCAGTTTCCTTGGGGTTGTTGATGGTAAGCTGGTTGGCTCAACGCCGGAGCTAGGAGAGCCTGCTGCTGAGGCATGGCGTTCTTGGGAAGGTTCGAAATGGGACGAGGGATGGATTCAGGATGTTCATAGACGTAAAGGCTCTTGTCGATGCTCGCAGGGATGGGTTGAATTTCAGTGCCAAGATCCCTCTCAATGTTGTATAGGTTGAACCGGTCGTCCCAGTTGATCAAATTGATGGCCAGACCAAGGTGACCAAAGCGACCAGATCGACCAATACGGTGCAAATAGGTTTCGGCGTTCTTAGGGAAGTCAAAGTTGATGACGACGTTCACGGCTTGGATATCAATACCTCGGGTGAGAAGATCTGAGCAAACCAAGTTTCGGCAAACGCCATTACGAAAGTCGTGGAAGACCCGGTTTCGAGCATGCTGTTGCATCCTAGCATGGCTGTAGAAGCATGAGTAACCGAGTTCGGTGATTTTCTTAGCAAGCAGCTCGACTCGGTTGGTCGAGTTGCAGAAGATGATGGATTGGTTGATTTGCAGCTTTGAGAAGAGTGTGTTCAAGCAGTGAACCTTCTGCTTCTCTTCGACGAAGGCATAGTATTGAGTAATACCTCGCAAGGTGAGTTCGTCCATGAGATTGATTTCGTAGGGGCTGGTCATATTTTTATCGGAGAAGTCCTTAACCGAGAGGGGGAAAGTGGCGGAGAAGAGCATGACCTGTCGGTCCTTGGGATGGAATTGAAGCAGCTGCTCGATAACAGGGGTGAATTCAATGGAGAGAAGTTTGTCAGCCTCGTCCATGATGAACATGGGACATTCGCTGAGATCTGCAACATTCTTTCCTGCAAGATCTAGGATTCGGCCCGGAGTACCGACCACAATATGGACGGGCTCCTGTAAACGGAGGATGTCATCTCGTAGACCAGTACCACCAGTTGTTACCATGACATTAACGCCGAGGTGCTTGCCCAGCATCTTGCACACTTGAGACGTTTGCATAGCCAGCTCGCGAGTGGGGACGAGGATAAGACATTGAATTTTTGAGACTTTGGGGTTGATGCGTTCCAGAGCGGGGATGACAAAGGCGGCGGTTTTTCCCGTGCCATTTTTGGCTCGGGCTAATATGTCACGGCCAGTTAATGCAACGGGGATGGCTTCTTCTTGGATGGGAGAAGGCTTCTCAAAGCCAGCTTCAAAGATTCCCATGAGCAAATCTCGCTTTAAAGCAAAGTTCTCAAACTCGAGACCCTTGGTTTTTGTGACATCCTATTATTTGATAAGAAGCAGCGGATCATCAGCCATCAATCGAGCCATAGCGGGCTATCAGGCAAAAGAGAAGAACAAACCTCTGTTTGCAGTCGGGTATCCTTGGCAGGGATATTCAGGTTCTGTTTCCAGTCTTCATTTCGTGGGGAAGCGCCATCACTAATAGTGGCAGCCCGTTAGCAATGGATGAACGGATGAATCTCCTCCTTACTCAGGGACAAACCAAAATCTTTGGCTCTCTGAGTAAAGTAATTAAAATCCATGCGAACCTCAACTGGGTGTTTTGCAACTGATCTGCTAGCTGGCTGGCCATTCTTGGCGGAGTCTGAGCCTCGAGTCTTCGAGGCGTCCAAGTCTTTCAATTTTTTTTTTCGGTTCGTATGACGGGCGGTTCAAGGGGCCCTGCAACTTTACGGTTGCGAGATGGAAGTGGTTGTAATTTCGGTCTCGTATCTAATGTGATATAGTCGAAGAAACGGATGAGTCGAACCTGTTCTTTGAAGAAAGGATACGACTTTGGGTAGCAGCGGAGAGGGAGAGGAGGAGAGGGAAGTAGGCAATTCAGTGGTGAAGGAGCCCGGGTTGTTGAGGTCGACAATATCGCCGTTTGTCTATTCGCTAGGAAATTATTGTGGCGCAAAGGCCTATAATCGTGTGGAGATGGTATGTATGAGATGGGAGGAGAGAATTGAGAATTGGAAAGGATCCTGATAGATAAGAGGCAGATGAAGCAACTGAGATGCAGAGAGGCCGTTTTAGTGTGAGTCACGTGCTAGCGGGGCTCTCTGGCTGCGCTCCAGCCTTTCAGCCTCTCCTGGATTCCTCGCCTTGTTTGCCTCACCGCTCAAGAGGCAGTATAAGGCCCATGTCACATTTAGGTTATAATTTAGCTGCCATGCTACTGATCATTTTAGTGTCCAGTGGATATTTCAGAAGAACTACGGCGTCAATAGAGGTGGGATTAAAGTACACAGCGCAGGCCAAAGATGACGGTAGTCGCATGCGATTAACCATCCCCCTGTTTTATCTGACAAGTTAGGCCCTAAGCAGCTGCATCTTACCCCAGATGGTACAAGGGAGCAGGTACTCTCTACTCCGCACAGAGAACTGATCTGGCGCCTCTCCAAAGAAGGAGTGCCACTATTGATTGATACGTGAATGGCTGATATTCGTGTAAACTGAGACAAGCCAATGAAACGCATTACAGTACACGTATTCAAGCTACTTGATTACGTTATACACGGGTATCCTGCTTGAGCATTTAAAACACCAAGAATCGCCTTGGCTGTCACTGGCCAAGTAGCAAGCATTTGACTACCTACTACCTTGACTTAGGTACCTATGCTTCTCCTTCCTGTCGACTATTATATTCTCCTTTTTTAGATAAAGACGAAGAATACAACGATGATGATCACGGTGAAAAGAAAAACACAAAGATTCAGAAGGCCAAAAAGAGTCTACAAGTCATGCTGCGGCCTACGAATAGCGTCAACTATACGCGGTGCTAAGCCATGGCTATCGTAAGGCAACCGTCTACTAGAGGCCAAGGCCAGAATAATAAGAGTTTGCAAGGTGAAAGCACGCATGCATTCCGAAATAAAACAGCTCTACTCCGTAGTAGCTTGTTTGCATATACACTGTAAATATTGGTTTTTATTTTCCGGGTACTGTTTCTTCCTCCTTTATTCTCCCGCTTGGATACTGCTGTGCTGTCTCACTGCACCTACAGCACAAAGCGCTCCTCCCGCACCAGCTACTCGCCAATAGCCCATCTCCGGACACACAAATATTTCCCCTTGCACGCCCCTTGCATTCGGCAAGTGGAAACAGCAAAACACGAACAATCATAGCCTTGAGCGCGTTGGATGAAATTACCAGAGTGGGCGCCTGCCAAAGGGGATTTAGCCAGTGCCTCGGCATCTCCCTGGCTCCGCTATGGCTGCGGTTGCGGCTACGTCGGGGGGAAAAGCCCATGACATCAGCACTGGAAGTCTGTTTTTTTTTTTTTGTTCCTTCTGTTTTAGAGTGACGTGCAGTTTTCACATGCTTCCTGGCTGACGGTGTCAGAAACGCGCCCCCCTAGTATACCTAGTAGTTGCTTGTCACGACTCAAAAAGCCAGCGGCACATGACAGCGGTGCCTCTCGCGTTGGTACTAGTGTAGGAGCAAAAACAGAGCAGCAATCTGAATTGCCATTGCAAGCGCCGGGATAGGCCCAGGTTTGCGGAGCGCATGGGGAATTTTGTGGGGGAAATGCCCGGGAGAACAGCGTTTCGGATGGCTGGTTTTGGAGTAGGATCTGGGTAGTGGCTTGTACTCCGTATAAGCTGGATTGACACACGCGCCGCCTTGGGGTTGCTTGTCGGAGCATGTGATTGACGTTTGCCGACGGATTGTTAAATACCGTTTCTTGTCTGCTATTCAGGGTCGTCTTCTTTCTCTTTCTCTCCCATATTTTTCTCTGCATTCGGATTTTTTTTAACCCGTGCTTCATCGTTCTATTATATTTCCACCATGACCAAGGTGTTCACAGCTGCCGAGGTTTCCTCGCACAACAAGCCTGACAGCTTGTACATCACCATTGACGGCGATGTCTATGATTTAACCAAGTTCCAAGATGACCACCCTGGTGAGCACCTCTTTTGTTCTCTCGTTTCTTCTGCTCGCTGCCCTTGTAGAACCCCAACATTCTAACTGCCAAAAAAAAACTATAGGTGGTAAGAAGATTCTGCAGCGTGTTGCCGGCAAGGACGCCTCCAAGCAGTTCTGGAAATACCACAACGAGGGCATCTTGAAGAAGTACAAGGCCAAGCTCCAGGTCGGCTCCCTCGATACCAAGCCCAAGGAGGAGCCCAAGCCCGAGCCCGCTCCCGCCCCTGCTCCCAAGGCGGTTGTCAAGGCTTCAAGTAGCAGCCACAGCCAGGAAGACTCAGAGCCTCTCGAGGCTTTCGGCGACCAGATTCCCTTCGCCGACCCCAGCTGGTACCAAAACTACCACTCTCCCTACTTCAATGAAACCCACGCGGCTCTGCGCGCCGAACTGCGCCAATGGATTGAGACCGATATTGAGCCTCATGTGACCGAGTGGGATGAGGCGAAGCGTGTTCCCGAGGAGATTTACAAGGAGATGGGTCGCCGAGGTTACCTGGCTGGTCTGCTGGGCATCAAGTACCCGACCGACTTCGTGCCGGCAGGCGTAAAGTCCGTCCCTCCTGAGAAGTGGGATCTGTTCCACGAGATGATCGTGACCGATGAGCTGTCGCGCACCGGCTCTGGCGGCTTTGTCTGGAACCTGATTGGAGGTTTCGGCATCGGTGGCCCACCACTGTTCAAGTTCGGCTCCAAGGCTCTCAAGGAGCGCCTCGGCCCCGGCATCTTGAGCGGTGACAAGCGCATCTGCTTGGCCATTACTGAGCCCGATGCTGGCTCTGACGTTGCCAACCTCACTTGCGAGGCCAAGCTGAGCGAGGATGGCAAGCACTTCATCGTCAACGGCGAGAAGAAGTGGATCACCAATGGTATTTGGTCCGACTACTTCACCACCGCCGTGCGAACCGGCGGCCCGGGCATGAACGGCGTTTCTCTGCTGCTCATTGAGCGTGGCCCTGGTGTCACCACTCGCCGTATGGACTGCCAGGGTGTCTGGTCTTCCGGCACCACATACATCACCTTTGAGGATGTCAAGGTCCCTGTTGAGAACCTGCTCGGCAAGCAGAACCAGGGCTTCCGAGGTAAGTACCCACAAAACATGGTATCCCGAGTAGCATGCATCCGATGAGTTTTGCTAACAAACTATCCAGTCATCATGACCAACTTCAACCACGAGCGCATGGGTATTATCATCCAGTCTCTACGATTCGCCCGTGTGTGCTACGAAGAGTCCGTCAAGTACGCCAACAAGCGTCGCACTTTTGGCAAGAAGCTCATCGAGCATCCTGTCATCCGCATGAAGCTGGCGCACATGGCTCGCCAGATTGAGGCCTCATACAACTGGCTCGAGAACCTCATCTACCAGTGCGAAAAGATGGGCGAGACCGAGGCCATGCTCCGCCTCGGTGGCCCTATTGCCGGCCTCAAGGCTCAGGCTACTGTTACCTTTGAGTTCTGTGCTCGTGAGGCCAGTCAGATCTTTGGCGGCCTGTCCTACTCCCGCGGTGGCCAGGGTGCCAAGGTCGAGCGTCTGTACCGTGACGTCCGTGCCTATGCTATCCCCGGTGGCTCTGAAGAAATCATGCTGGATCTCAGCATGAGACAATCTTTGAGAGTGGCCAAGGCCATGGGCATGAAGCTGTAAAGGGAAATGATGAAAAGAGTAAACTAATAATACCGATGCGGGGATAACCCTGTGTATTGCTTTGGAGTCGGTGCAAAATTATTGGGATTGCCGTGTATATGATTTGTACGACTACGTCTCTTTGAGATATGGAAACATTTATTGCTTTTTTAAGGTGCTTTTCCATAGGAATAACTTCTGTTTACTATATCACAAACAGAGCGATCTATAGATTGAATAAACTATCATTATATCCTTGTTATAACTTGTAATGACTCTTTACACTCTTGGCACCAGCGAATACCGCGCTCATCGGGAAGTCCTTCGTCTACTTGTTCGCTGACTCAATGCTCAAATACGCCAAAAGCAAACTAGATATGGCAAGTTTTCATTCTTTTCACTTCCATTGAACGAATCTACCTCTGTAGGCAGGCTTCAGTAAAATACACAAATACCAGATATAACAGCGTAATATCCTCCTTCTGCACGCCAAAAACTCCATAATACTGCACTCCTGAAAGCAAACCGAGCCAAGCCATGTAAATGTCCTAAACCTTCCGGTTCCATTGCCAATGCCAGGCATCCAGTCATCTCCATATACACCACTAAAGATGACCAGATGTCAAGTTTTTTTTCGCCCATTCTACTCCATCTTAGCTTATATCATTCCTTCTAGATATTACTTATGCGCCGCCACGAGGCTTGGCTTTGGCCGTAGCCTTGTCTTTCTTCTCCTGCTTGAGCTTCTTCTTTTTCTCTTCATTCTTCTCATCCAGCTTGCGCTTATGCGCAGCTTTTTCTGCATCAGTCTTCGGGACAGGCTTGAAGAATCCCTCTAGACGTGCCTGTTGAGAGCTCTTTAGATTCTTCTCTAGCCGAGCGCCTGCACTGCGAACACGATCCTCGGAGAACCCCTTTTCAGTGACCAGGAATTTAACCAACCCGTCCATGTCAGGCTTTTCCCACTTGAAGTCGCAAAGGGGATCGTCCGCTTGGCGCACATCTGGGTTAAAAAATAGTTCTCGCGCGTCCTTATAAGGCCAGTCCTCAGGCAGCGTGTACTTCTTCTTACTATCTTTTTCAATAGCCTCGACAATCTTTTCCAGAGAGCCATGCTCCCGGATCAGTTTCAGAGCCGTGGTGGGACCAACTTTAGGGATCGGATCGAGATAGTCGCAGCCTAGCAGGATGCAGAGGTCAACGAACTAAGGGGGAAAAAATCAGCGTTAGAAATATACTATAAAGACTTGGTTGTACATTAATGCCATGAAATCACGTACCTGTTTTCGCTCCATGTTCAACCCCTCCAGGACCTTGTCCAAGTGAATCTCCTGGATAGGCTCCTTTCTCTGCTCACTAAAGGTAAGGTGGCGCAGCAGGATAGGAGTATTGAAACACAGAGTGTCCATATCCTCACTCGCCGCAGCATACACTTTTCCAGCTCTTGCCAAAACTGCGCACTGGGCCTCAGCCTCTGTAGGCGCAATAATGTATGGGATACCCATGAGCTTGAGCAAGCGCTGGCACTCGGCATTGTGTTCTCTCGTAACTCGAACCGTTCGCCTAGAGAACTTCTCCACGTCTTCTGCAGTACCTGTTTCCTTTGCCTCTTCAAGGCCTTCTGTGGCCTCTTGCTTGCGCTGAAATCGCTTCGCCAATTCGCCGGATTTGAGCTTCGGTGGTGCGCCGTCGAAAACGTAGAGGGGTTTGATACCGTTGTCCACCATGCGCAGAGTGCGGTAGAACATGCCCATCAGGTGCGACGTTGTCTCGCCACTCTCGTTCATGAGCTGTTGGCCATCGGATCGTACAGCAATCAGAAAGCTGTATATACTCATGGAGGCATCCTAGATAAGGTAAAGAGATGGCTAATTAGCAACGGCAGCCACCACGAAATAGCTATGGCAAGCTGTCAACGCACAATAGCAACTTTGCGCCCAAACTGGTTTTTGATTTCGCCCTCTTTGATGGCGTCCGGAGCCTCCTCCTTGACAATCTGGAATAGCTGCTTGATACCCATGGTTGCGGCGGAGCTGTCTTCAGAAGCTAATTCACGATGCAGCGGCTCGTAGCGAAGAAAGCAAAAGGAAGAAATGAGAGAAGAAGAGAGAAGAAAAGAGCTTGTTTGGTTGCACCAACTGTCAATTAGCTTTAGAGCCCTCTTTCAGCAGTCGTGCGGCTGCCTAGCCCTCTTGAAGAAAATGGAGAAAAAAGAACGGCTATTTAATGGCAGATGATGGATACGCGCTGAAGATGGTGAATGACGCGCCGATTCGCGAATTCGATAGTGGCATGTTAAGTGGTTTCCACTTTTTTTCCAGATACGTAGCCAGCGCGCAGCATCATCAAAAGCAACAAGAAAGTCGAGGAAAAAGGTAGCAACTGTTTAACAAGGCAAGATGAAATCCACATTTTCGTCTTCTTGGAAAAATGTATATAAATTAGATGGCTAAGCCCAGTTGCCACAATGAAATCACGGCAAATATCTTTAGTATGTACTACTAGTATATTACTGCAGGCATATGATGCTGCTCTAGTGCCTAAGATGCTATCAAAATGTCTCGACAGTCACCACCACCTAACCAAGGAAGTACGCCCCCCACCGTCTTCAACAGTCAGCAGCCTTCGGGGCAAGGCAGAGCCTGCCCCGAGAAGCACGCAACTGTGAGCGGACAGTAGATAGCAGGGCGCCCCTCAGATCAGGAAAGCAAATGGTCATTTGTATAAATCCCTTCCTCTCCCTATCCCTTGTAGATGCCATCGAGTTAAAATGTTTAATATACCGCTCGGAATACAGAGCAGTCAAGGATGATTCTCGCCTTGCGCTCCACCTTGCCGTGCGGAAAACAAGCATTCTCAGCAATGAGAAGCTTCTTCAGTCACATGCATTTAAAAGAGAAAAGAAGATAATGGGGGGAGACATTCACCGGGCGAAAGGTCAATGGGGCTCAAACCAAGGCCCAAGTAATTTCACGGGCTGGCTCATTAGGCCGTCCCTGAATATCCTATTAGTCCGGGGTATCGTACACTGTGCCATCTTGGCGCATGTTAAAGTTGTTGTCATTTGACAATGCCGCTAGTATTCCTGTTCTCATCAGTCGCCTTGAAATGTCTAATTATAATCAGTCTTCCTCAAAGAACACCTTCTTCCTCCCACTGCCTCTATAATCCTCCATGTTATTTAATGCTTGGTCGATCTCCATGATGTCAAGCATTTCTGCCTCCACGTTCCGAGTAGTGAAATCTGCTGTGACGTCTGCCGCTGCGCTTAAGGTATCAGCAAATCCAAAGCCGGCACGCGATCGAGCAACCGGGGTCGGCACGTCATCTGATTTATCATTCGCTCCGCTTCCATTTCCGTTTCCTTCATTCTCACCTCTGGCAACCTGCTTCTGTCTTAGAGTTCCGGGTTTAACAGTACTCAAGTTGAACGACAAGCTTGCTGATCTGTCCTGCTTGCCGTGAACTATGATAGCTTCCGATTTCTCATTTCTTGAGAATAGGCGTTTTCTGCGGCTAGCAACGACGTCGCCAATCTTTCTTCCTGGGCCGTCTTCTCCCTCTCGTACGATGACTATTCTTGATTCTCCTCGGATGAGTACGTCAACCGGGAGACCGCCATCGTCAGGAATATCATCGTCATTCTTGGAAATATCTGGAATCAGACCAACTCCACAGCATCTTTCTCCTAGAAGACCAGTGGCAAGATCAACCAGCTTGACCATTCTAGTAGGCTGAGCACCACTAAATAGATTGACGCCACCACCGGATCCTCTTCGTAGTTGTGAATCCCAGAATCTCAACACACCTGGGATGACGCAGACATGTTCCAGGCCCCCTATCCATAAAGCCAGGCTTTCGTCTTGGAGTGCTTTGCCAGGAGTTGAAGGAAGTCCAATCACTTTCACACCTCCGCGAACTGCGAATAGGCGATCAAGGCTGGTGGCGGCAGTCAAAGATGTGGCAGCCTGTTTACGAGTATGAGGCGTCATAGGTGCAAAGTCACCAGCATGCTTATCTTTCTGCTGTGTCGCAATGGTGCGTAGTGCGCCCGTTCCCTCAACATATCCGGAGACACTAAAGGCAGTCAAGGCAGCCCCCTGAACGCCCGATTTCAATTTACTCGATATAGCGGCTCCCGATTGCAGCGGCTTCGCGCCTTCAATGTCCCAGATGCCCCACATGCCATCTGCTAATAAAGCGAAGACTGCCCGGCCATGAGCTATCCATGCGGCATCCAAGATCGGCTTGCGTGAGGAAGATGCTTTGGCAAATGGTTGATATAATGAGAGTAGCCACGAGCCTTGAGCCGGGAATGGTCCTCGGGCATCTAAATCCGGAGGTAATGATGGCTGCGCAAAGTCGTATATCCTTACAGCGTGAGGCGACGATACCGCAAGGAGCTGTGAAGTATTTGTGGGGTTGAACGAGATGCTCGTAAGGGGAGTAGGGAGAAACTCGCTTTGAAAAGGCTCAACTGGCCGATTGGAAGGCATCTTGTCTTCAAGTGCGATATCCCACAGATGTAGAACGCCAGATGCCTGCCTTGAGAAGGCAGCTACCACTGCCCTTGGCGTCTTGCTTGATGATTCAATAGACCTTGGGGCAATCAGAGTGATGGCTAAGCCGTCGCTGTGTTTTGTCTGGCCGCTAAGAAGAGTCAGCGACTCACCCCAGGATCCAGATCCAGCTTGCCCAGCCAAGAGATCTGCTCTGAGCTCTGGTCGCGCCTTGCTTTGGGGAGAAGGTGGCGTCAAGGGCAAGGTGACAAGATAGGCATCGTTTGTGGCGCAGGAAACCGCAAATACCATCTTTTTGGCCAAGATTGGCTCGCCGTTAGATGCCGTTTCAGCTGAAGAACACGGTACTAGCGGCATTACCGCAACTTTCAACACAGCCGTCCCAAAAGCTAAGTCCAATGTCTGAATAGTTTCGGGGTAAGGATTCCTCTCGACGGTGTCTTCGAATTCAGGCTTGTCGACATAGCCCTGGGTAGCTTGTGATTTCGCCGGCGGCTCGTCATCATCGGAATCAATAATCATGACAGAATCTTCAGAAGCTCCATTCCTCTGCTCTTTGTGGTTTGCTGGCTGTTTTGGAGCTTCGTTGGAAGCTTTAAACCGTCGACCGCCTCGCCAGACCAAAGTTACGCCATTATCGTGCCCATAGATTAATATGGTAGCTCCCTGGGGAGATTGAACCGGGTATGTCTGGACATCGTTTACCCGCCGTGATAGATTGTACCTGTGATCTTGGAATTAGCCACATGCTAAGCGATGCTTTCGTTGCAGACTCACGTAAACTGCGTATTCTGCGCCGTTCGACGTATTCTAGGCGTGGCTGCAGGGCCCATTGCGAGATGATCTGTTTATGGACACACTCCCTAAGGTGAGAGCAATATTGTAAGAAGCTCTGGGTTTTTTCGCGTCGGTAGACTTTAGTGCATTGTTTGCAGCCAAATTACAAAGTAGGAGTGCTTGATGGATTTCAATGGTTGGCTTTGTATGGGAACTTTTCCTTGACGCGACATGCTAGCAGCAAGAAGCTCTAGATAATTTATGTCACGTGATGCGCGCAACTACCCATCAACCTCTGCCCTGAAAATCAGGCTTCATATGCCATGTGCCAACGTAGATTATGCCTATGGGGCCTTCAAATAAATTAAATCAGATGACAGATGTTTGTGTTGCTTTCAAGATTTATCGCGTTTGGTCTCGATTTTGTATAGCGATTGTTGGCCTTGAAACTTTTTATACGTTGCCTTGTCAGAACCACAGAGTATAAAGTACATATAAGCTGCTAGGGACTGGCTAAAATGAACTTCCATGTGTATGTACCGATAGCATCAGGTAGCTGGCTCAGTTATTAAGATTAAAAATAGACACAGAATATTCAATTGACATAACAATGTTTCGTGGATGCTAGCGAAATATTTATCTAAATCTTACTAACGATTTCCCAGTATCTATCTAGTTACTCCAAACGCGTCTCCTTGACTTTCTTCGTTATAGATGTTCATCATTAGCACGCACATGGAGAAAACCCAAAAATGAGAAGAGGCAAAAAAGAGAAGAGTCAGAAGTGCAATTATGATGAAATAGTTGTGCATTATTGGCATTCAACGGGAAAAACTGACTATAGCTGCGGCCAATTGGCTACCCTTAATGGCAGTATTTGATCAGCGCCCCTAGACGTTAAATGCTGCATACTCGATGATTACTCTAAGTTGGCGAGCAATAAAACGCAACTCGATATACCATTAGCCATAATAAATATCTAAACGCCGAGGTAGCAAAAGAAAATGAGTTATTCTTGAAGAAATCTCCCGAGCAGAACACAACTCACAACCGGCGTAGTTCATGAAACACATTCTTTACCAGGAAGGGCATCTTCACTCTCAAGCGGCTTAGGCAGAACAAATCAATAGCGCTCACAATCTCAATGAATAATTTTTTTTTTGTTTCGACATGACGGTACTTGGTTACTATGCGCAATCCCTACATACACAATCCCACCCAAGATCCATCGCCCACGTCCGAAAAAAGAAAAAGGAAGTAAACAACTCAGTTAGCAACCATATTTTATCTTCTAGCTCCTTCACACAAACGCACGTCCCTGGTCTTTATCTCTTTCATACATACACCCGAAGCATTGATAGCTCGGTTAATGCCTCTCTCCCCACGCCAACAAGTTTATACACAGGGAGTTCCTGGAAATGGGAATTGTTAAAAAAAAAAAAACACGCTGGGCCGACAAAGCAAAGCGTGTTAATCGGGCAGCCTTGCGCCTCCCCTTTTCTTCATAAAAGTTGTGAAGACGAGGAGCCAATGCCGTTGCATTCCTCGCTCTCTAATCGCCAAAAAAATTAAATTGTAAGAGTCAATCGGACACACAAGGAGTGGACGGCGTAGGGAAAGCCGGGGTATGATGTTGAAGATGGCCAAACTCATTCATTTCCCTGTGTAGTAAAAGTCTATCCCTACGCCTGAAATAAAAGAAAAAAGAGAAAGAGAAAATGTCAAAACGCCGCTAGGCCATCGGGCCAAGAGGGGGGTCAACCAAATGGACATGAGCTACCATCCCGATAACGCCGTAAATGCCCATGATTGAAGGAGAAATTGGTGAGGCCAAGTAAAAGGCAAATTCGCTCGTCGTTAAGTGGATATGTGGCTATTTGCTCATGCGTTGGTGACCTGTAAAATCGTTAGCCAATCAAAAACAAACTCTTAAATATGAGCCACTAGTGCGGCAACCACAACATACCCGCAAGATACGACGAGAGTAATCCTCATTGTCTGCGATACTGCCATCACTGAGCCTGCGGTGGGCCATGATGGGGTCAAGGCGAGAGTCGGTCATGGAAATGCTACCGCTGGTAGAAGGTGGCTTGGAGCCGTTGATGAAGGCATTGACGGCGGCATTGCGGCGGTGTTCCTCCTCGATTTCGGCATTCCGTCTTCGCCTCATGGTGAAAAAGGCAGCTCCCAGAAGGCCTCCCAGGACGACAACGCCAACAACAGTGCCCGCAGCGATACCAGCGACGTTGGTTTTCTTTGAGCCTCCCGATGGTGCATCTGATGGAGTTGCCTCTGCAGACTGAGAAGCCGGGCTTGAAGGGTTGGCGGCGGCCGATGATTTCTCAGAATCAGATGTCGAGCTGGTTGAAGAAGAAGAAGGCGACGATGTCGTTGACGGGGGCACATAATTGGGGGGATTGATGTTGATACCAGTGTTCCATATGCTGTAGAAACCTGGGTTTCCAAGACTGCCGCAGGCCTCATTGCCATAGCCGGGGCAAGGGAAATTGCATTTGTTGTCATCAACCACATCATCGGCGGGAGGATAAACCATTCCGCAGTAGCACACATCAGCCTGCAGTCCTGAAACGGCGAATTTCTGGGCCGTGCAGTACTTGTTGCACGAACCGGAAGAAACTTCTGTGGCCTTGACGGCGGTAGTGGCCGTCATGTTTCCTCGGGAACTCCAGCAGCCCTGTGATCGAACGGCGCCTGGCACAGGCGGTGCTGATGGCACTTGAAGATTGGCTCGGATCACATGGCTGATCTCGTCGACTCTCACAGGGGTTGCGCCGAGAGCTGTGTAAAATTGAGATGCGGCCACCAAGGCACCGGAAATGATCGTTGACGATTTCATGTTGATAGAGCGAGCGTGTGAAAGAGAAGAGAGTTGTCAAAGTAAATCAGGTCGAAAAAAAAAAGAGCCTCAGAGTGGAGGCTACGGCTTGAAGGTCGATTCGAAACAGGCAGAAATAAAAGATTAATATCAGGCTGGCTCCACCGGGGAGTTTGTCAAAGAATAAAGGAAAGAGACGAGAGTTTGGCAGGAGAAGAAAGCTGTTGGACTTCGGCGGCGGTTCGCCTTTGTATGGCGATTATGCGAGTTTTTCTCCTTTATATTCGATGGGCCTGCAACAGTCGGGGGATTCGTATGACTTGGTTCGGCGGCGAGTGGCAGGACGAGAAACGAGAGGCTCGACAGACAGACGCCTTTGCTGGTGGAAGTTGGAATTTCTCAAGATATCAGAGCAAAGACCGACTGCATCTGATTTCTTTGACCCGATGGGCTTTGAGAAACGCTGTAGGGAGTCGGTGTCGTCGAAAGAAGGAATGAACTGGAACGAGCGTCCTAGAGGCGTGACTTGTTTTGTTGAAAGGGAGAGGAGACGAGAAGGAGAAACGACAGATTCGGGGGGGGCGGCCAAGGCAAGCAGGACGGCCTGGGGGGGTGGCTCCGAGGTGGCAGTACGTACCGCCAGGTACTCGTACACGGATCAGGGAGCTGGGATTAGGCCAGTTGGTGTGGTTAAGGGGAAATTAGTGCGCTGGCCCGCCCGGTGCTGGCGCTTTGGCTGCGTGCGAGTGCCTACTCCGGAAGCTACGAAATGCAAGTACAGGACGCTGCAGGCCGCTGAGGTACCGGGGCTGGGGGGATACGAAGCTGGTGCGTGTACTTGTACCTGCGCGGTGCTTGCGTGAATGATTCACCGCACAGGCATAGCACCTGCTGGGTGCCAGATAGTGCCGCCGACTGGCATCGCAGCAGATCTATTGACGTGCTGGACTGCCCTTGGATGCTCTCCTCCTCGTCATGCTCTCTTTGTTGTCAATATTGATGCTGCTGCGCCGAAGCACACCGCGCACTTGCACGTACTGCTACTAATGCAGGGAGAAAATATTGCCTGCAGGTACCGCCACAGCAATGCAGTGCCGCGATCCGCCAAAGGGAAAAAACATCTCGTTCCTGGAGCTGGCGCGAAGCTCAGCAAAGCAGCTCCAGCCCCTGGCCAAGTGCAGTCTTGTGTCGCCGGCATCCTTGCCTAATGCGCCGCCCACGCAGCCAATCGCAGGCGCCATGCTGGAATGCAGCGGGCCTATTGGGCTGCTCAGCGCGTCGGCACCCGCCAGCTAGGCCGCTAGCAGGCTAGGCCTGCAAGGCCCGAACCTGTCACGGTGGCGCCCAAACAGCCAGAAAAAAACTTCAGGAACAGCTACGCTACAGGCTGGGGAAAAAGGGACGCGTGGAGCAGCACTGCGCCAGAGGTAGCGCATACGGGGGCTGTGCCTCGGCCGTGTTAGTGCTGCAGCACTGCGCGCGCGCACAAACCTTAACGGCGTCCCTGGATTGAGCCTGGAATCGGCGTCGCGGATACATTCAGAAGCTCCTGCAGACGGCGTCCGAGTGGCGTTCCGTCCTATTTCCCAACTCCACCTCAATCAAAAGCTCTTCCACACACACAATGCAACCTTCATCAGGCATTCCAATAATAACGACGACACGGCACTGCCAGCAACGAGCACGAGTATATTTAGTTCACTTGAGCAACCTGCGCGAGACCCGGCAGACACGGCTAGCTGCCCGTCATTTCCATCCCGTATTTGTCCTGTTTGTGGCGATGCGATGTCGAGCCGCGAGGCAAATTGAGGGAATAGCGGCCTGTTATCGCGCTGGGCCCGGCCTCTCCAACGGCCGCCCGCCATCGACAGGGATCAGACCAACTGGCTAATATTAAAGGCACAGAGTCGGCTGCTGATGCGTCGTCGTGCGACCTCCGAGGCCTTGCTCGTGTTGCGCCTAGCGAAAAAGGGAACGCAGAGGCCCATGGGCTCCATAATAATAGGAGAGCAGCACGTTTCATATCACTACTCTATCCAGTCAACGCACAACTCGACATCAGCACCAGCCTGTGCATGCATAACTCGACGTGCACCCAATTGTGGGCCGCGGGTACCTGTACACCCGCCGTCTTGATTCATTCTCTTGCAGCCACGTCGAATTTGGCGCCTTGATGGTCGCAAAGCTGAGACAGCGCGACCCTCCTTCGTGCCAACTTGCGACAGCGACGAGTTCCCTCAATGCTTCATATCCTCACGCATATCGTCTATCTCTGCCCGATTCGTCGGCTCCCGCTGCACATCACGGTAGCGAGGCGAAGATCGAGATGTTTACTTGGCGGCGGGCAGCCAAGCTGCTGTTGATTGGAGGTGGGAGCCTTAGCTTCTTCTTCGGCGCCGAACACGTGTGTCTCCGCTAGGATGGAGGAGTATCATCTCAGTGTCAATGCCGCCATGCGCCTTGTTCCCTGTTTTTTACGAGTGCTCATCCTCTTCTCGAACTTGCGCCGAAAAGCCCTCTTCTGTTGTGGACGAGGACGCACCGCTGCGGGTCCTCCATCCCTAGGTAAGCACGGCCACAAGGATGGCATTGTCAGTGAGGACGCGATCTCACCTTCACCGCTTGCTGTTTTGTACCGTACATTGCTACAAGCACCTGTGCGGAGTAAGTAAACGATCAAGACTGCTTTCCGTGCATGCAGAGCGGATATCAACACAAACCGGCTTTCTGCTGTGCCAATATGCACTACCAGAATTCCGTACTGCAGTAGTATTTGCTCCCCTTGTAAAACCTCTCGTTGGCTTTTTCCCCTGCAGTATCACGACTGGCTATGTGCATATGTACGTGCTTGCGTATTCGCAACGCTGCTCGTTTGCCTGCCTTATCATGCAATACATGCATGGGCCATGATGTATAGGGCTTGCCCAACTCGGCGTCCAGACGATATCCTAATGCAACGACGGAGTACAGCCACCCAAGATGCCAAGGTAAAATCGGAGCCCACAAGTATGTAGCTAGCTAACAGCATTAAGAAGATGCCTTCCGAGGCCGAAGTTCCTACATACTACTACTAGTGCCAACTGCTACTACCACTACCATTTTTCAACCAATAGGTACATGGTTCCTCCCTGTGTTATGCCCCGAAGCTTCCGTGAATGGCTATTAATCATCAAGAATTTGATCAATAACCCAGGCCGTTCCAGTTGTTCTGCGCTTGGGCACCCTCATCTCGCATTGGCCATGAGATCTAAGCAATGCGTGTAAAAGGAGAGCATTGCGTGCATATTGAGAAGGCTTGTGAGTTCTAAAAATAACAGCCCACTTTATTGGAAGTATTCCAAAGAGTGGTTGATGCCGCGTAGGGCATCCGATGCTCGGTTTCCTAGGCCTCGGCCTTTGATGGAAAATATACAATGTGATCTACGAGCTGCCATATATGTACCAAGCACAATGCAGTATCTATGTTAAGTACCTAAAAGTCCCACCATAAGTCAAATGCCTTCGAAGTTGATAGCAAGTGCTTGATTCTAGTATTAGTATGTTAACACTTCGCCCCATGTCCCGTAGACTATTGTATATTGTATGTTATGTGATGCGACAGCTCGCTCCGAGTCCCATAGGGAAGCTGCTACATGCCGTTATGAGGCTATAATTTCTATAACATTAAGATTAACATATACGATATTTAAAATAGCTTACCCAACATGTCGGTCGATCCTTTTGGATACCTTCTAGTTTTGGGTTATGGTGATTTTAAGACTCGCTATGTATATATCGCACTTTATCAAGGTGTATAATCTAACGCTATTACGCTTTTCTTCATATACAAAATAGCCCTTCGTATGATACTAGGTGAATTTCACTGATGGTATACTAGGTAGATAGCGCAGATACAGATTGATGTTGATGCCACCATTAGGCATAAATCAGATTCGCTTGGATATCAATATCAGCACAAAGTGTCTAATAACGGTCATTTAAATTTTACATTGAAATATTGAGTGTTGAATCGTCGTAGAAATACCAAGCATATCGTTGTCAAAGGTCAAGACGCATGGTGGCCTATGCTGAGGGAAATATGCAAGGCGGCGAAATAGATTCCAACGCATGGATTCGGATAACAAAAAGAAAGCAGAGAGGCACATAGACACACATAAAGGCTGGTAGATATTTGTGGATATATTGGAAATAAATAGCTACATGGAGAGGGTTAGTCAGGGACGTAGATGCAGTTGGAGGCTAACAATGTATTCATCCATCAGTTTAGGGAGGGAAAGCAGCTATTGCCAGCGATATACCTTATCTTTATGTCCTATGAGAGCCGACAGCCCGTAGAATCTCTTGCTATTGCAAGCATCCAGACTTCTTGAGCATTCCTTGAACACAAAGAGGGATGCCGACTTTTTCTGGTAAGCATGCCCAAGGTGCCTAAGCGAATTGATGATGGCTGAGATATGTATTGTCAAGAAACAGCACGGTATCAATTTCTTCATGTAAGTACATTGTCAGAACACAATAGCCAGAACTGCCGAGGCCTCATCCCTCATCATAAAGACGGAGCCCTTGCATCCAACAGTGAATTCTGCGCTGTGTAAAAACGTACCATCACTTTCTCTGTACATTTCTTCGCAGTCTGACAAGCTATGTATTTACACTCTCATTCTCCTAGATCTCCAGAAAAAGTCACTGAAAACTAGCAAAGCCTTGACAAGGAGTGGACCAGTCGGCGTAGCTACTAATAGAATGTGTTTAGTTATATGAATCAATATCTTATACTGCGCTTTCCATCACCGGGCTACGAAACCGACGATAGACCTATCGGTCATACCACTCGGCCATCTATTCAGGAGACGTTCATCGAAATGGTAGAGTTAGCTCAGCCGGCGAGATTCCGCCATCGATGCGATTCCAGACGAATACTTAGACAAAATGATGTAGAGCAGATTTTTGGTTGTAACGCACAAGTTGAACTTACTATACCAACCATCCCATCTCAATACTCTTACACCTAGTATTTTAAGAAGAGCAAGCACATTCAAAGGATTGGTAAGTCAGTAGTGCCTGCGTGCTGACGTTGTTCGTTTAGAGTCTGCGCCTACTATCACCCCACGAAATATATCTTGCCCTTAATAAAATACTAGGTATGGAAAAGCCCGGTGGTTGGGAAAAGAGTAGAAAGAAGTATAGAATTGCTTTGGGGGTTTGAGGACTAAGCTTTATAATCTAAATTGAATTCAAGTTTTGGTCGGGCGCAAGTCATTTATTGGTGATTACTAGAATGGAAATAAATCTTGTTGACAGATAAAGCGACTCAACTATAATGCTAGTAATATATCGTGGCTAGAGGCTACGCTATTATATTATTCTTTTGATTGAGGCCCAACTAATTAGCGAATTGACGCTCATCTTTAGGATGGCCAATTCGTTCAGCTTGAATGTTCAAGCAACGAATGTAGGAAGAATTTCCATAGAGGTACCGGGTAAGAATTAAGAGAATTATAGACTACTAGTATTGCGGCGCAGGTAGATAATAGGCACTGATATTTAGAAAGTTGCTACTCCATACCAGCTGAATTGATGGATGCCCAGCTGTAATAGTTACCCGGGAGCGGTCAACGATTCTGTTACCAAGGGAGGTATGATATGACGATGGTGCTATTATTGGCGTCTAGCACCGGTTTGCCTCGGAACTGTATCAGAGGCTGGGGTGCCTAGTTTCAGCTACATTGGTGAAATGGCACAGCGCCAAGCAATAAATGCTGTGGAAGAACCGCGTACTAAGGTACCAGGTACTACCTTGGAAGTGTTCTGTATCATGTACCGTACTTCGTACTAGCATTTCTCCCTTGCGTCCGGGTCGCTTGGGGTACCTGCGTGATTGACTCACCTTTGTGCTCACTTTCGATAAATGAGAGCTCCTCGGTGGCAACTATGCATATTGTTATTATTGGCTAACCGATTGTCGAGACAAGCCATAGACTTGGCCGTAGAAATGCCTTTGTAGCGGATACTCCATCTTCTCTCGAGGCCGAATAAATGACGGTACATACACGCAACACACGTAAATGCAGATTAACCTATGCCGCGTTTACTCTGCTAAGCAGGTACCTACTAGTAGTAGGTCCTACAGCTGAAATTCGCGGCTCAACTCCGTAAAACGACAGGTAGCAGGATACGGGTTGTGCCTACTGCGGAGATAAAAGCGCCATTCGGAGAATCATTCCAAGAGATGACTCTCCTGTTTCTGATGCCGTAAGACCATCGTCCTGGTACCTGATAAATACTGGCACATTGTTGACAACAATGTGGCCTGAGGCACTACATTGTTGATCTTGGCCGCCCCATCAGCCAGTTAGGCTTGGGCCTGGGCAAGTTGGGGTAAAGTACCCAGGTACGCTATTGGAAGTAGCTCTGGTCGTCTTCTTAGGCGGCAAAGAACCTCCGCAATCAATGCGTAGGTACTCGATAGGCCCCCTTGCAGGGACGCCGTGCGTCATCAGCCCGTCAGCACAGGCACCAATAGGCGCGACAGCACGCAAACGGCGAGCACGAGGCCTAACCCCCCCCGTCCGCCCTGTTTGATTAGCCCAGGTCCAGTGACCTCTTGTCTGTAGCACTGGTAGCATCACCGCCAGCCACCGATGCTACACAGTGACTGACCAGTACTAAGCTGCCTGCCGCCTTCTTATCTAAGTTCGCACTACTGCTGCTGCCCACTACAAAGGCAGCTTCGTCATCCCTTCTCCTCTGGCAGCTCTTCCAAACCATCAACTCATCATCCTTCATCCATCACCTCTCACACCAGAAATACCCCATCATCAAGCCCAAAGTGTCGCCCAGTATGAAGAGCGCATTGATTGCCGCTGCGGCGCTTGTTGGCTCCGCCCAAGCCGGCGTCCACAAGATGAAGCTGCAAAAGGTTTCCCTGGAGCAGCAGCTGGTATGAAGCCGCCCGTATCTGCCTCTGCCCAGTCGCACGAGCACTAACACTTCTCTTTTTCCACCAGGAGGGTTCATCTATCGAGGCCCAAGTCCAGCAGCTCGGCCAGAAGTACATGGGCGTGCGCCCTACTAGCCGTGCCGATGTCATGTTTAATGACAATCTGCCCAAGATCAAGGGTGGCCACCCAGTCCCCGTCACCAACTTCATGAATGCCCAATGTAAGTCAGCGCGCAATGGCAATGCTCCAACAAGCGAGTGCACCGCTTTACTAACTTGAATGGGATAGACTTCTCCGAGATCACCATCGGCTCTCCTCCCCAGACTTTCAAGGTCGTCCTTGACACGGGAAGCTCCAACCTCTGGGTTCCCTCGCAGTCCTGCAACAGCATTGCTTGCTTCCTGCACTCCACGTACGATTCGTCTTCCTCGTCGACGTACAAGAAGAATGGATCCGACTTCGAAATCCACTACGGATCAGGTAGCTTGACTGGCTTCATCTCCAATGACGTTGTCACCATTGGCGACCTCAAGATCAAGGGCCAAGACTTTGCCGAGGCTACCAGCGAGCCCGGCCTTGCCTTTGCCTTCGGCCGCTTTGATGGCATTCTTGGCCTTGGTTACGATACCATTTCAGTCAATGGCATTGTTCCTCCCTTTTACCAGATGGTGAACCAGAAGCTTCTGGATGAGCCCGTTTTCGCGTTCTACCTCGGAAACAGCGATGAAGGTTCTGTGGCTACCTTTGGTGGCGTTGATGAGTCCCACTTCTCGGGCAAGATTGAGTACATTCCTCTGCGCCGCAAGGCCTACTGGGAGGTTGACCTCGACTCCATTGCCTTCGGCGATGAGGTAGCTGAGCTTGAGAACACTGGTGCCATCCTCGACACTGGTACCTCCCTCAACGTTCTCCCCTCTGGCATTGCTGAGCTGCTCAATGCTGAGATTGGCGCCAAGAAGGGCTATGGCGGCCAGTACACCATTGACTGTGCCAAGCGTGACTCCCTCCCCGACATTACTTTCAGCCTCGCTGGCTCCAAGTACAGCCTCCCTGCTTCTGACTACATCCTCGAGGTGTCTGGTAGCTGCATTTCTACCTTCCAGGGCATGGACTTCCCCGAGCCCGTCGGCCCCCTGGTCATCCTCGGCGATGCTTTCCTGCGCCGATACTACTCTGTCTATGACCTCGGCAAGGGAGCTGTCGGTCTTGCCAAGGCCAAATAATTAAATAATACACAGTGGAATGAAGGTGTATCTAGGAGGGACACAGCTCATATGTTGGCAGAAGGCAGTTTTGGTTATTTGAGCAGCCTTGCGTGCGGGAATACAGTATTGCGAGGTGTACGGATCAAGATTGCAGCGCCGTTTATGTAATATAATGGAACACTAGTACTTGTTTGCTGCTCTAATTTTACTTGAACCTACTAACAGAGGCTGATTTGTGTTTAATCTTCTGCGTCTACTTTGTGAATGGCTTGGCGCGTAAAACTGAGTTGGCCATGGCGTTTGTGGCTGTTTTGTGCGTACGTTTTTTGTAGTATCCTTTCTGGTTTGGTCTCTCGTAAGGGTAGGTACATTGATCTACCTATTTTCAACACATTTTTATATGCTCAAAGGAGATCATCAATATGTATCAACGTAGTAATTTACATATGGGATTTGGCGCATTAGCATTTTTTTGGTAACACTATATCTTGATAGTAGTTAAAAGTCTCTTTGCGATCTCTTATCTTGCATTGTAGACGTGCTGAATCTAACGGCCCTTCGTCACCCAAGCGGATCCAACTCTTACTAGGAGTAGTAGTCTGGCACTTCCAAGTTGGTGGGCAAAGCACTCGCCGAAATAGTGCCATTTAGAACAAAGAAACTTTACAAGCCGAAACACTTCGGCCTTCAATACTGGATACTTGGGCTATATGGCTAGGATGGAGAAAGTCTATACTATGACTTCCATGTGGCCTTTTGTGTATTGTATTCCTATAGATACAATGCAGCATAATCATTGTTATTGTAATCAATAGTATTGGGTGCGTTCAATAGGTGAACATATAATACTAAAAGGCTAGCAGTGCCAATGGTGGTAGTAGTAGTATTACAATGAGATCGATCCGCACCTTAGGTAGGCATAATCGATGAAGCTTAAGCATCCACTAGTACGAAGCACCGCTAATTGCCTGTAAGCACCGCTCTTTTAGCGGAGCCACGGCGGGCCGGCGGCGTTCTCGCAGCGTCAGAGAGAGGAAATCACGTGCCGGTAATTTTAGACTTTTCCCGCGAGGGCCTTAGCGCAATCCTGGGTCCAGGGAAAGTACTTGGCGATCCAGGACACATTCTTCCCCAGCTGGCTCAACAACGGCATTCCATCCTGCAGCCGCCTGGAAATCTGCGGAAATTTCGCTATTACCATCTCCGGCTGCTGTTTGAGGCGATTTGCAGGCGCGGCGTTTCATTGCATCTCGTCTGTTGGATGTAGACGCTCTGCCCGCGCGGCCTTGATGAAAAGGTTTTGGAGTCGCACCAAAGTCAGCCCTTCTACAACCGCGTATCGCGACGGGGCGCGGCCAGCACCTCGACGACTGACAGAGGCACCGAGCCAAAATGGCGCAGCCCACGCCCGAAGATGCTAATGGCATCAGGATACCAGATGGCGATGCCGGCGAGAACGGACATGTTGTTGCGGCGTCCGGGAAGCGAAAGCGCGACAGCGACAATGGCGACCGGGCCGAGGACGGCGGCGACGAGATGGATGTGGATAACAAGGTCGAGCTGCCAAATGAAGACGACAGCAAGACACAGGAGCCCGAGGAGGACACGACAAAGAGCAAAGAGCTCATTAAGGCCTTCGTTGAGGTTCTGCGGAGGTACGATTGCATTTACCGAGAGCCACGCCTGTGGTTCTTTTTTTTTTTTGTCCTCTTTCTTTTTTCTCTCATTTTCCGTCCCGCTACCATCGGGTTTCGTCATTTGAACAACTCCGTCCCCAGTGTACCTGGAAATGCCAGAGAGCATGCAAGCTAACCAATACCAGTTTTGACATCGGACCCTCGATCCTCGGTCGCCCACTATCGGCACCAGAGTCAGAATCTGAAGATGAACCCCATGCAAAGCGCCAGAAATCGGCCGAGCCGCCAATGAAGCTGAGCATCACCGATAAAGTGGCTGCCGACGCATACACCTCCCTCGATGCCATTGCAGCGGACCTCGCTTTTGCTGTCAAGGCCTCACTGTCTGAAATGGACTCGGGTCCTTCTGATTCTGGTGCAAGAGCTGTTAGCATGAAAAGGGCTGCGCAGATCAATGAATTCCGAGACAGAGCCATGGATCTACTCCGTCGTGAAAAAGCATACCCCAACACGCGACAAGAGCCAGCAAACGGAGAAGTCGAGGTACATACTGCGTCCGAAAAGAGTGAAATGGTTTTATCGCTGGTTGGCTATGCGCCCCAGGAAAGGCGCTTGTTTTCTAGTTTACCGCTGTCCAAAGATGTCGATTTGTCTGACCTAAGCCTCCCGCCTGGCGTGTCCATCACCCGAGTTATCCCTTCCAACCCTCAAGACCGAACGCAAACTCTCGGCGAGCTATTTGCTCCGCCGCGACCCCTTCCGCCTCTTCAGCCACCCAAACAGCCAAAGACACAAGCCAAGGGAAATCGCCTAGATTTTTATCATCCGCACTTGACCGACAGCTCCAGGTACCGGGGCAACTCGTATTTCAACACAAAATTGTCCACTGGCTATTATCTAGATTACAGTCAGGCGACACCTTCATGGCAGACAAAGACAAAGCAGCATGAGCGCGCACAAAGTCTTGCCGGCCGGAAGCCCTCACTCTCAGAATTAGAAATGTCCGAAATGGAGACCCTCTTCCGAGGGGCTTTTTCCACGTTCGCGCCATGCAAAGATGATACTGCTGCAGTAGTGCCGTCTAGCGTTGCTGGCCGACTTTGGTGGCAGCGCAGTGGCAAGCAGAGTTTCCAGCGAATGATTGAAGTGGAATACTATGGCGACCTCCAAGATGCGGAACCCGTCGACCCCACGCGGCCAATAGAATTAGACGAAACCGCAGTGCAAGAAGCTATTGATAACTGGGATGAGACAGTTGTCGACCCTTCATTAGACGACGTTATGGGATCCAAGCACGATGAACAGGACAAGGAGGTCGACGAAATTCTCGAAGAGGTCAGCGATTTAATCGAGACGCTAGCCTCTTACCAGCGCATCCGTAACCTGACATTGCCAAATTCGCAAAACCGCCAGTCAAGCGACCCTATTAATGGAGATATGCTGGCCAATGCTGGACCTCAGCCCTCGGAAGAAGAACAGGCCACCTACCTGATGCTCAAGGCTCAATTGGCGCTCATTATTAAGACATTGCCGCCGTATGCAGTGGCTAAGCTGAACGGCGACCAGCTTGACGATCTTTTAATTAGCACCAAGATAATGGTTCGCACTGATCAATATAGTGGTACTATGGACGAGGACGAGGCGAGCGCGCAAGCTCGACTTAAGGCGCAGCAGCAAGCCGCCCAGGCAGCCCAAGCTAATGCCAGACAGCCGCAGCGTACACCCAGTGTTTCTGCTGTACCATATCCTAATCAATATGCGGCGGCGGCAAACCAGTATGGCACACCCGCTCGGCCCGCACCCCAGCCTCAGCAGTACTATCGTCCTACACCAGCTCCCAACTATCAGCAGCCTCGCAACTTGGGGCCACCAGCTCCTCCTCAGCAAAGGCCTCCTCAACCGAATCAATACACTCGTACCAATGGCTATCCGAACCAGTATGCCACCCAGCTTGCTAAAGCCCAAACTCCATACGGCCACCAGAGCCTGCCGCAACAATACGCAACCCAGCAGAGACCCAACTATGGGCAAATGCCGCAACAAGGCGTTCCAAACGCTCGCTATAACTTCCAACAAGGCTACCAGCACCAGCCGGGCACGCCACAGGCGCCTGCGAATTACGGAACGTACGCTAACAGCCCGGGTGCAATCCCAGCTAGAACTATGTCTCCCCAAGTAGGAGCCCGGCAAACATTCAGCCCGTCGCCTGCTGTGCCACAAAACCAGGGTTATTCAGCACCAGCCCCGACTATGGCGAGCCAGATGAATCGCTTTCCTAGTGGCTCATCTCAAACGGGGAGCCATAGTCAGAGCCCCGGATTGACTGGATACCACACGGTCATCCCGGAAGCCCAGCAACAGCGGATTTTAGACCAGGCCAAGGCTCGCGTCGCGGCCCAGGAGAGATCGGCCATGTTTGCTGATAGACTCTCACAAACGAACACGTCGGGTTTATCAGGCATGGGTTTGGGTGTCAATATTGATGCTAGTCGAATCGCGGCTATTCGAGCGAACATGGCGAACCAGAATAAACCGCAGTCCCCCACTCCTTCAAAGCCTGGCGGCGTGAATGGGACACCGGGAACAAGCCATGTACCCTACAAGGTGACTCCAGTCCCAGTCCCCGTCATCCCTACTCTGCAACGCAAGCCGACTTCATAGTTTAGGTAAACTCATAAAACGAATGTCACGGAAATGGGAGGGTAGTTACGCTTTTGTGAATAGCAACACTTTTATGGCGTTGTTGAAAAGGCGTTAAGAGGGGTTAGGGTTCGTATAAAGGAGTTCCGGCACAAAAATTAACTTGAGAGAATGATTACACGCTTTCGAAGACGATAATGCAAGAATTGCCTAAAAAAAAAAAAAAAAAAACCTTTTACGGGTTAGAGGAATATGAGGTGTTGATATGGGAGAAGGATTGACTATTTCCGATACCTTTTGTTTGTTTGTTTGTTTCGGGAACTGGGAGGTGGAGACAGGTAGTGGGAGATACGGCCGTGAAGGGACATGAATGTATGATGGGGGCATGACAAAGGAGCCCTGGTGACTGCAGTATGGACCCATCACTTCCACATTTTTACACCTTTTTTTCTTCTTCTCCTTTTTTGAAGCTTAGTGAAAGGGTCGATTTGATTGCATAGGTAATAGGGTTGGGAAGCAATTAACTAATAGTCAGAAGCACAAACAGGCTTCTAGACAGAACATTTTTATTATTTCTTTATCTGCGGGGACTGTGATGCAAGAGGATATCAGATGGATGGACAGTCAGACAGGGAGGGTAAAGATCAAGAGGAGCTGACAAGGAAGAAGGGGTTTTGGATTGTGTGCATAGATTGCACACTCCAAGACAAACACAAAAAGCGGCCAAGGGAAAGGTATTGATTGGGATTTCTGTTACTGTTACTTTGTAGTGTATGAAATACCGTTGGACAAATATTGGGGTTCAATAGACGCCAGATAGGAGGGCCTTTTTTTATCTTCTTTTTTTTTATCTTTGAATTGTTCTTTTATCCAATGCGGGAGCAAAATGTGAAAATGCTTGTGGCGTGGGATACATTTTTTATGTGGTTGTATTATACAAGTTAGAAAAAAAAGGAATTTCTTCCTGTAAGTCATTTTATTTTTTTTCTATCATAATTGTTACATGGTGGAGATGCAAGTAATTGTGCAGTATAAATGAAATTATTTATACAGAGCTGAGGGGTATCGTATCATATCGTTCCGTCTATTTCCCTTTTTAAAGGCGCCTCGCCTCCCCCTTTCGGATCGTCATTTCAAATATCGTATAATATGATGCGCTCGTTTCGCATACAAATAGTACATAGAGTAGTGGTACAAAGGAAGCAAGCTAAAGGAGGTTAAAAGGGGGGGAGTGGAGGAGAATGATCTACGAGTGATCTACGCGTGTAATGGAAAAGATAAAAAAAATACAAATGAAGGCACCAGAAAAGCAGTTATATCTCGGTATCTGGCTCTCTGGCAGCCTGCGCCTTCTCGCTGTACTCAATGACAATCCTCCTAAGCTCAAAGATGACCTCGACGAAAATGAGGACAATGATTATCCATTCCAGCCGAGTGCCATGTTGCTCGCTGGACATTTCGCGTAAGACGGTAGCAATCTCCTGTGCGTAGTCCATCTTCTGGTTTAGAGCACGGATGCGCACGTTGACATCGAGTGCGCGGCCGACCTGGTCGTAGTAGCCCTCCAGCCCCAGCTCGGACCGGCTGTCCCAGAAGATGTCCGGAAGGTTATCCGTCAGCTCCGAGTAGTGGTTGAGCTTGGCGCGGAGGCTGAGCAGCTCGCCAGTCTTTTGCAGGATGAATTTCCGGCTGAGCGGGACGCCGGCTCCCTGGGAGAGCAGGGCCGGGATGTTCCGCGTGCTTTCGAAGTAGGACGTCAGTGCGGCCTCGAGAACAGCCAGTTTGGTGCTGCGGGCGAGGCCAGACGAAAAGGCAATCTTGGCCAGCGTTGTGTCGAGAAAATCGCCCTCTTTGTGCTCCTTGCGGGTGCCTAACACGACAAGGTCGCCTTTCAGCGCGCTCGTCTCGCGGCCGTTGTCGGTGGTGAACTCGAGATCCTCAACCTCTCGCAGCTTTTCAGGGTGAGGCTCCTCCGCTGCCCGCAGTATCTGCTTGGTAACGACGTCCGGGGGCAGCGACCATGTCACAATTGTGCCCGAGGGGAATACGAAGATATCCCCGCCATTGACGCCCCTTGCATGGACAACCTCTGCGGCGTCGAAGCTGGTGCCGTCGGGGTCAATTGCGAAGCCATGCGACGACAAGATCTCCAGAACAACGGGCATGTTAAAGGCCTCGGCGATGCATGTTGCGCTGATCATATTAGACGGATCGGCCTCTGTGGCGTCTAGACCGAGCTTGCCATGCTCACTGCTGCCCCGCTTCGGCTGCTGAGCGATAATGGCAACTCGACGAAGGGAGTTTTTGGTCGGCGTGGCTCGAGTCGGCTTTCGTTTTGCTACCGGAGAAGAGGCATTGGGGCTGCTAGCAGCGCCGGATTGCTGCTCGGTGCTTCGAGAAGAGGCTTCGTCGCCATCGCCGGTCTGAGACGACAGATATGGGTTTGATGTGAAAAAGTTGCGTTTCCGGGGTAGGCTGGCGGATGTGGTGAGATGAAACGAGCGGCGGCGGGGACGAGGCACAGCGGCCACGATGCTGGAGCTGTGGATGTGGCGGGCGACGAGGTTGGCGGAGATGCGCAGCGAAGGGCTCCTAATCATGGTGGAAGTCGGCGGCGGCGGCTGCAGCTGCTGCTCGCCATGGAAGGAAAAAAAAAGGAAAAAAAAAAAAAAGAAAAACGGGCCTCTTCTACTTCTTCTTTTCTCTATGGTGCTCGTTACGCGGAGAGTAGGTGTCTGAACCGATGGAGATGATTTCACAGACGATAAGACCTGCTATCGCCATGTGACCCATCACATGCGCTGCGCCCAGGTTGCCAGGCCGTGCTCCTTCGGCCACCTGCGCTACGCCCCAGCGGCCCAGCCAGACACCGCCTTGCCGCCAATGACGAGAAGAGCGCCCCACCATCGCAGGCCAAAGTACCCGTGGCTGCCATTATTATACCGCCACGCCGTATTTGGTGGTAATTACAAGTTACGTTGCCAACCCCATCCAGCCAGGGATTCTCCTTCAACCTCCTCCAGGGCCTCCAGCGCGCGCTCCCCTTTTTATATAATTTTGCACCCGCTCTCTGGGCTTCGAGAACTCGTCTCTTCTCTTTCCTCTTCCCTCTATTCTTCCTGACAATACCTTCGTCTCGCTCCTAACCCCTCACACCTAACCATCCCCCACCATGGCGTCCATAGAACTCAGCGAGAAATATGACAACTATGACTACCCCATTGAGGCCCCCGAGCCTCAGGAGGGCCACTCCGGAAACTTGACCGCCGAACAGCAGGCCAAGGTCCACCAGCTGCGCATGCTGCTCGAGGCCGAGGGTGTCACCGAGCGCCTGGATTCACTGACTCTGGTATGGATTCCCAAGCTTGGATGGCGCGGAGTCGGGCTCCGATGACACGGTGAACAATTATGGGACAAGAACACGTCTAACGTGCCATGGCTGTAGCTGCGATTCCTGCGAGCACGAAAGTTCGACGTTGAGCTTGCCAAGCAGATGTAAGTTCCCCTGGCTCAATCCTGGCGTGGGTTCTCAATTCTGACCGCTATGCTGCAGGTTCCTCGACACCGAGAAGTGGCGTAAGGAGACCAAGCTCGACGAGATTCTTCCCACCTGGGACTACCCCGAGAAGCCTGAGATCTCCAAATACTACAAGCAGTTCTACCACAAGATTGATAACGTGAGACTGTTCGCGCGAGCTCCGTCTATATTCAGAAACTAACAGCTTCGGACTAGGATGGCCGCCCCGTTTACATCGAAACCCTCGGTGGCATTGACCTGACGGCCATGTACAAGATCTCGACTGCAGAGCGCATGCTTACCAACCTTGCTGTCGAGTATGAGCGCGTGGCTGACCCACGTCTGCCTGCCTGCTCCCGCAAGGCTGGCCACCTCCTCGAGACCTGCTGCACCATCATGGATCTCAAGGGCGTCACCCTCACAAAGGTCCCCCAGGTCTACTCATACGTCAAGCAGGCGTCTGTCATTTCCCAGAACTACTACCCCGAGCGTCTGGGCAAGCTGTTCCTGATCAATGCTCCCTGGGGCTTCTCAACTGTCTGGAGTGTTGTAAAGGGCTGGTTGGACCCCGTCACCGTCAAGAAGATCAACATCCTCGGAAGCAGCTACCAGTCTGAGCTGAAGAAGCACATTCCTGCCGAGAACATCCCCAAGGAGTTTGGCGGTACCTGCGAATGCGCGGGAGGTTGCGAGAATAGCGACGCCGGCCCATGGCACGACCCTCAGTGGGCTAGGCCTGCCAAGTGGGAGCAGAAGGCCGACAGTGCCGCTGCCCCTGCCGCTGCCCCAGCCCCTGCTCCCGCTGTTGCTGAGGAGGAGGTCGCTACTGACGCGGCGCCTGCTGCGGCTTAAATGAGAAAGCTGTGATTTTGTCTGTTTTGGTTTGGTGTATGGTGGGAAGAGGAATATTATTACTACGAAGAAGGTCTTCTGGATGCTCATTTCTGTCTTTTTTTTTAATCAAGACCTGTCCGAGTAGAAGAAGAGGAGAGCTCTTCAAAAAATTATCATATTGGGTTAAAGTGGGAAGCAGGATTACTTAGACTGGAGAGGGAAGAGGGATACACAAGGGATGGAGCAGAGAAAGCTAGCTCTTTTACATCGTTTACAGGGATAGCCAGACTTTCGTATACACATGTCAGGGGTTTTTGATGTTTGCAATTGCCAGAGAAGAGGCCGCCTTGCCTAAAGTTTTGTTCATCTGTGGTTCTAAGCCTTGTGAGACGGAAGAGTTATTGCTTGCCATTTCGTTTATACCGGACGGTGCCGAATAAGGCAGCCCCTTTTGAAATTATTTGTTCTAGATCTCGCCCCATCTCTATGGTAAAAAGTGTCTGCTTACGCAATGCAATCTCCGTCTTCTTGATAGGGAGATAGGAAAAAAAAAAAAAATAGACAGCACAAATGATAATTCTAGACTCCCCCAATGTATTCAATGAAAACACTATAAAAGCCAAACAAGGTTGAAACTCAACATGTAAAATCGCAGTAGTAGTACTCCGCAGTCGTAAACTTGATAACGCCGTGCCCTTGACGCCTGAATGCCAACAACAAAAGAACAGCGGCCACCCTGGTAGAATCCCACAATATTGGCCGGGAGCTAAGCAAAGCAGCTGGCAGAAAAATGCCCGAATCAAACACCAGAACCAAACCACATGGGGGGCAGCAGCACCACCGATACGAGGGTCCCAAAAAACACCAAAAAGCAATGCTGCATATGCACCTCTCCCTCACACAAGATGAGATCGCTCAACACCGCTTCTTCTTCTTCTTCTTTTTTTCTTAACTTCATCACCGCCCTTTGGAAACGACGTACTCGCCCGCTACTCTAGCCCTCTCCATCTTGGCCACGACAGCCGGCATATCCCTCTTGAGCCGGTTCAGCCCCTGAACCGCGCTCTTGAAGCCCCCCTCAACACCCTCCTGCCTCTGCAGCCGCGCAGCCAGCGGCGGGCCTCTCGCAGCTCCAGCCGCCGTGCCGGCCTCGTCAGCCTCCGCCGCCGAAGCGTCCCTGGCGACCCGCTCGCGGAGATCGTCCTCGTCCTGCCGCATGGCCGCGCGGATGCGCTCGGCGTGGTCGGCGGCCACTTTTGCGGGCACGGAGCGCTTGAGCGCGGCGACGTCCTCGAGCAGCTTCTCCTCCTGCGTGATGAGGTCGGCGACCTGGCGGCGCTTGCGGGCGTCGAAGGGCTCGTAGACGGTGTTTGGCGCGGGGACGGCGGTGCCGACGAAGGATTCGGGTGCGACGGGGAGGCCGTTGATGGTGAGGTTGGGAGCGGCGAGAGAGAAGGTCTTGTTGATGTACTGTTTGGTTTTTTTCATGAGTTAGCGATCTTCTTTCTTTTGCGCTCTCTCTACAAGAGAAGAGTAGCCGTATTGTTTTAGAATAAAAAAAAATGTGTTTTTTTTTTCTCTTTTACCTCATTCACGAGCAACTCAATCTGGTTGCGCAGCTCGTCCTCTCCTCCATCTGCCCCCTCGACCAGCGGGAACGCCTCATTGAGGTGCTCGATTGCTGCGTTGCGCACGTTTGTGATGAGGTAGGCGAGATCATCGGGGCTCTGCAGCTCGATCTTGCGCTGGACCTGCGAGACGACGGAGTCGGAATCCATGTGCTGTAATCAACGATCAAATGGCGATTATGTGTCAAAATTTTGTGTTGATTTGTCTTTTTTTCTTTGCTTCTTGTTGACTTTCTTTCTTTCTTTCTTTTCCCAGTTCGGTGGTGATCTGTTGACTATGCGATCAGCGGAAGAGGCGAGTTTATAGAGAGATGCTTCTGATCGCGCTTTGTCAAGATCTTAGGGATTAGTATCAAGTAGGAGAGGCAGAAGAAACCAGCAGAAAAGAAAAAAAAAAAGAACGATGAGATTGTGCAAATAAAAAAAACAAAAACGGCGATATCGCGGCGGGCGGAAAACGCGTTGTGTGTCGCGTTGGTGGGATGAATTGGGAAGAAGATGGTCGAAAAGAGGAAGTGCATTACGTCGGTGGTGCTAGTAACTGCGTGGTAGTAGTAGTGCCAGCTTTGGTGGGGGGTGGGGCATGGCGTTTGATGCCTGAGATGGATGCTGTTATTGACGGAAAAGACTGTTGAAAAGAATCCATCCAGGATGCATTGTGAGGCTCTATATATAGATTTATAGGCGAGTGCGCAGAAGGAATCGTTGAGATGCGTTTGTTTAACATGTGCCGCAGATGTCGCATGGTATATCGGCGGAACAGCGTCCTTGCTTCTTCTTCCGCAGCAGCTTTCGGGATATACAAGCACTCCTGCAATCAGTCGTACAGAGCAGATCGACCAGATGTGCCAGACTAAATGGGATTGATACAAGCAAACTCCAATATAGTACTACTACCTAGTATATATATATATACATAGGTAGGTATACATACAGGGAGCTCCCAAGTCACCGAGGCCATCAAGGTATCAACCCCTGACCAGTTGGACACCTACTAGTATATTCCTGCACTGCCATCCTGGATGCGGCAAACAAAGACGTACCTCTACTATTAACCACACCAGTAGGCATCCAAGTACGCTGGTAAATGTTCCTGGCATTTTTTCTATAAGCATCTACATTATCAACGAACGAGACCAATACCCAAGGTAAAGGACGGTACTTGAGCAACTCTTCTGCCTTCTCTTCGATCAATCCAGCCAAGCAGGCAGCTCTACTAATGCAGCATTTTTCGTCACCGCCAGCGCCTGCCCACCAATATGCAGCTTCACATTCCATAAAGCATTTAACCGCAGCAATCAATGCCTCAGCTGCTTCGTCGCAAGGCGCACCAGCGCAACTAGTACTTCTCTTCGACGTGCGCATGTAGCATTTGTGATGCACGGCTAAATACGGACACAGCACTTATGCTTTAGCGGGCTGTAATTATTATTTCTCTATTTCTCTAGTGCTTTTTTAGACAAAAAAACGAAAAAAAAAAAAAAAAAAAAAAAAAAAAAAAAAAAAAAAAAAAAAAAAAAACCGCAGAAAAACTCAGTTCTTGCCAAACACAAAAANACACAGCACTTATGCTTTAGCGGGCTGTAATTATTCTTGTTCTCCATTGCTACTCCTATTTGTATCTGACATTATTAAAGCTCAGGACTGAAAAAAAAAAAAAAAAAAAAAAAAAGAGCATAGATACCGCAGAAAAACTCAGTTCTTGCCAAACACAAAAAGTTCTCTTGCTTTTGTAGCTCCATCTAATACTACTAGGTATAGGTACTACTTCAACGTGGTGAGACCCCTAAGACAAAAGCTATCTGTTGTAGTAGCTTAGTTCGAATTCGGGGTCCCGCATTCCCACACAGCATGTGCGTGTATTTCTGAGCTCCAGCCCAAGTTGCTTGTACTTTGAACCCCCCTTAGAAAACCAACAGGCAGTCAGCTCCGAACAGGCTAAAATGGTCGATCTGTGGGGTAGCAGTCCTAGGCCAGCAGGTACTCCATACTTTGGTGGTACAAAGAGGGAGATATCTGTGGCTCTCATCCCCACAGCCGCATGCGGGGCAGCCCCAAACGCTTAAACCAATTGGCTTTCACCTCCCAAGTGAACGTTGCTGAGTCCTGGACGAAGCTTTGCACAAAGCATATCATACGATGCTGGGAGGGAGCAGCACCAAGCAAGCTAAGGCATGATGCATATACCTAGGTAGGTAGTCCATAACGCGGCAAGCCCCATTTGAAGCGAGGACATCTGTATGCATATGCCGCTCCCAGCGTTTGGGTTGCAGGCAGTAAGCACAGCACGGCGCAACCCCCAGTCTTACACGCCGGAGAGGATCACACGAATCGCATACAAGACAAACACCTTTTACGACGCATGATGCGCAATACACAACACAACACAGGGCACCTAGGTATACCAAAGGGTACATGAATACAAGAGTAGGAATGTACCTATCTACCTAATTGCCTAATAACCCAGTGCCTTGATTGCCAAACAAAGTCCAAATCTCAAAGAGTTTCCTCAGCTGCCGATCCGGCGGGATGCTAGGAACCAATAACCTGTAAAGTACCGAACCAATACAACGAAAGACCAGAATAGATGCCCCAATACACTTCTCCCAAACTCGGATATAAACGCCGGGCAGCCCTGCAAGGACTGTCCTCCAAAAGAAATAAAAACCAGAGTGGTCATCCATACTCCACGCCAAGCCACCACAGTGGTACTTCCTGCCAGCAATATACACCCCAATCGAAAACCAAGAGGCCAAACATTCAACAAATCCCAAAGCCGTCAGCGCCGTCGGGTGCTGACCGACACTAATGAATACAACAAAGCCAAGCAAGCATCTTGCGAGAAAAGAAGAAGAAGAAAAGAAAAAGGTATCTAGATAATTCAGAGTCCCGAGGGAAGCGAGAAAGTAAAAGAGTATGATGCGTGACGATAATGGCAGTGTTGTATGTTTTACTCCGGAAACATATTCTTTATCTCCTCATCGGTCAGGTGGATCTCGTGTACGGGATCTCGTCTATTCTCCAAAGGGACGTAGTAGCAGTCGACGTAGGAGGGAAGGAAGATTTCTAGAAAAGGGAGCCGAGTTAGCCACCGGATTACCACTTCTCTCGAAGCCCCATGGTGCAAGATGAAAGAAACATACCAGGATTCCACATGAAGCCCTGGCCCGAGGATAAATACGAAATCTAATTCATGGTTAGCACAAGCAACGGCCATCACGACAAGGCTAGTGTAGAGGAGAGGAAAACATACGAGTCGGGGAGGGCCATCTGGGGCTCCAATGTTGATAACAGTGCACTCTTGCTTGGAAAGGGCCGTGCCTGTACAACGTGGTCAGCAAACGGGTGGAACATAAGGCGGACCACACGGCTTATTGGGCTGTGCCGACTGGCAGCTCCCTCACCGGCCATGATCCGCACCACAAGATTAGAATCAGAGGTGGACGTACTCAGCAGACTGGGACGACGACTGGCCAGTGCCGTGGCCTTTTCCTTGCCCTTGGGGGAGGCGGATGGGCTCGAGGTCGATGGCGAGCTCGAGTATGAGCAGTCTGACGAGCTGCCGGCCGTCTCCGAAGAGACGCTGTATCTGGCCGCCGGGATGTTGATTGACGAAGACATGCTTGGAGACGAGGCAGAAGCTGTCTAGACCAGCCCGTGGCAGAGGCAGGGCACGTGGAGGCGCTGATCACGCAAGGATCGTGAATGACGCAAAAGAGGCGAGTCGGCGCCGGAGAGAGCTGAAGAGACGGGTCGGCACAAGGGCAATAAACAAAAGCCGGGCAAAGAGGCTGGAAAGAACTATCGAAGGCTGATGTGGAGAGAAATGCCGACGGCGACCTGCGAAGAGCGTGAGAGAGCCGGCGAGAGTTGCGGGATGAGGTGCGAGGTGAGGCCAAAAGATGGCAGAGGCGAGATGAGCATGGAGAACAGTTGCAAGACAGTCCGGCCTACGGAGCACCTCACTCGCCTTGCCGACAGCCAGTCAGTACCCGGTACTTCGCACTGCTCCAGCAAGCCGGCATTGGGCGGGAAACAGCTCAAGAGGATGGCTTCGTACCAGGTACGAGCACTAAGGGCGTCTGCTCCCTGGTAGCGGAAACCTTGTATTGGCGATAAGTCGACCTCTCAAGGTGACTGGACGTCGCTGTGCTGCGACTGTGGCGCGATGGAGGCCCGCACAGCATGTAGCAGTACCGGCCACTTGCAGCACCGTACGTGCATGGGTGACGATGTCTAGGTACCTTATCTCGAGCCGCCAATGGCAGACAAAGCACTGCAGTGCATTGCATTGATCCTGTCTGTACAGTACCTCGATGGAGCAAACAGTCTGAGGTTGCCAGGCAGCCAAGGCAAGTACCCCATACATCGTGCGATGCCGGCACGGCTCTCCAGTCGCGCAACACCCACCATGGTGCGGCAGGTAGCCAGTACCTCCGTACAGTGCTGTCACAGGCCTGATTCAGATCGGGCTGGGTCTTTGACATCAATGCCCCATCATGCCAACCCGTGATGCCCAGCGGGCGTCAAGGTGCTGGGCACCGGTACCTGCGCGGCATTAGCACTGGCTGTCACTGCTGGCGCTGGGCCTTAGCAGCCGCAGGTAGCGGCGACCTCGAGGCCCAGCCACGAGCAAGGGTCTGTATGGGGCTGGAGTCTCCATGGCGCCAGAGCGCTTGATCCAATCGGAGAGGGGCTGATCGCCTAAGGCTGGCTGGGCTGCGCTCCTGGGGGGGCACTTCACCGTGGCCAGCTGTGCTGAGGTGTGCTGAAAGTGCGCCGAAAGGCTCTGCCGGAGACCACTGAACAGCTTGAGACACCCTCCTCGAAGCTGTTTTTAGGCATCAAATGCAAGCACTAAGATTCAAGGTTCCGCATCGGGCGGAGCTCTAAGCCAGCCCCGTTGGCAGCCAATTGGCGCCGGATTTGGCTTAGCTCGGCTTTGTCTTGGTAAAGCGTACTCTTACTCCACATTTCCGTATCGCGATAACGTCCATATCACGTGCGTTGACTAAGCAGAGCCTGGGAAAGGCTGCGT